CATAAGTATAGTATGTTCTTTTCCGGTTTAGTGTACGTAGCTATTTAACAATTACAGCACCATACAATTAACAATTATAATAATTTTTAATTTTTTATTATGTATTTAAAAATTGGTACGTATTGTATATAATACTCTAAGCGATACATATAATAAAAGAAAATTTAATTTAATTGCAATTAATTAGAAATAGAGACACTGAACAGATGCAATCACATAATAGATACATAAAATGCGACTAATTTTTACTAAATTTAGATAGTTTCTGTTGCATTATGTGATAAATTTTAAGTGAATAATATTTGCACTTATGTAATTGTTCATAATTATTACAATAGTGATTTGCGATCACACGATTGTCTTTTGTTGTAATTGTTATGATATCACTAATTATTGAATAAAGATTTTGAACGTTAAGCTATCAATATTTAAGTATTTAGAATGTTATAATTTTTTTTCTTTAATTTTTAATGATAGGAAAAACCAAATTTACAGCCTTAGAACGTTTAAACTCAAATGACTATAAAGATAATTTTTATGAATCAAATAATAAAATGTTTTGTATCGCTTGCAAAAAAGTTGTTAATCATAGTAGAAAATCTGTAATTGACAATTATCTTAATTCAGAATCACATAAAAATAAAAAACATCTTATAGAAGCATCTTCAAGTAATATAATAAAACAAGATATTAATATAGCATTAGCCAAAGCATTCGCTGAAGCTGATATTCTACTAGAAAAAATCAATAAATTACAACTATTTTTTAAAGAATATTGTATTGAAGGTAAATTGATCTGATAAAGTATAATATGTTTATATTTTTATTAATTTTTAATTATACTATAGGTGATAAGGTTGTTGGCGCAAATCAAATATGTAAACATTATCTTTCACAAATTTTTCAAAGTGAAGTTGACGAATTAAAAAATATTTTAATTAGTCAACTTATTTCAATTATGATTGATGAGACAACTGACGCTTGTGGACGTAGTGTCATTAATGTTTTATTTAGCTTTCACGATCAAACTAAGCTAGTTAAAACAGAATATCTTGATAGTGTTAATTATTCTACAATTTCATACCTAATATTATCAGCTTTAAATTTTTATGAAATTCTTTTTTCTAACATTATTTATTTATTAGTAATAATGCTTTGTATATAAGAAAGGCCTATTCGAATATATTAATTCATTTAATATCTCAATTTAAACACAATTATTGTTTTGCTCATATTTTAAATTTAGTTAGAGATTGCTGGATATATTTCGACAACTTTAAGCTTCTTACATGCATAATTTCGAATATCAAAGATGCCTTTTCTCATTCTCCTGCTCGTAAAAGAAGATAGTTAAAGTTTCTTTCATCAAACCTTGATTCATTAGATTCATATTCTGAATCTTCTGAACTTAGTTTACAGTTGCCTCCATTGTTTGTAAAAACTCACTAGAATAGCTAGTTTAATTTTGTTATCTGAATTAAACTGTACTTCTTATATCTTGTACAGTTTTTTAATATAGAAAATATGCTTAACGATTCTCCAAAAGCAGTTAAAAAATTGGTTAAAATTTTTTCAAATCACGAAAATATTCCAATAATCGAATTATTTATTGAATTTATTTCCTTAAATACTCAACAGTAAGAATATTATATATAATATAATGTATTGAATAACGATAATATTAATAAGCTATATATATTAATTAGCTTAATTCAGGATTTGGAATTCTTTAAAATACGAAATAAACCTGTTGCTCCTCATGTTTTTTTTGTGAATTAGTCAAACCTGTGCTATGTTACAAGCAGGTATTGAAAATCTACCATTTAATATATTTATGTACAATAAGATTTAAAAAGAGAATCTAAATTTAAT